AAAAAACAAAACAAAACAACGCCCCCCCAAAAAAAACCCCTCACAAAACCACGTTGCATTGGGACAATCTTCTGTCAAGGACCTCTCCAAAGTGCTATAAAGAGCAATGATGTCAGTTTAAAGATTAAGATGCACCTGATCAGAGCCATATCTTTCTAATTACTTACTATGCATCAGAAGGTTGGACCATGACTAAAGATGACAAGAGGAGAATCAACGTCTTTGAGTTGTGGTGTTGGAGAAGAGTATTGACTAACCCATGGACTCCCAAAAGAACCACAAATCTGTTCTGAAGAAGGTGCAACCAGGGTGCTCCTTGGAGTCAAGGGTGGAGAAACTTCATCTCACATACTTTGGGCATGTTGTTAGGATCAGCCAGTCTTTGGAAAAAGACATCATGCTTGGACAGATAGAGGGTCATCAAAAAAGAGGAAAACTTACTTAACAAGATGGATCAACACAGTGAATATAACAATGGGTTCAAGTACATGAGAGTTGATGAGAGTGACACAACACAGGGCAGGGTTTAGATCTATTATTTATAGAATTGTTATGAGTGTAGTCAACTCAGTGGCATATAACAACAGCAAATAGACTTTTAAATGGAAACATCAAATAAAAATATTTTTTGTAAGCAATCTCTTCCTGGACATACTCGAACCTCTGCCTCTGAAAACCCACTAGAGGGTCAGCTATGAGTCAGTTCTGACTCTACAGTATACAACAACAACAACAAGTTTGTAAAAGAGAAATGGGCTTGAGTTATAAATTTAGGCATTGATACTGTATAGATAATACTTAGAGCTGTGGTTATTGGTGAGTTTGCTAGTGGAGTTAGTGTAGCTAGAAAAAAGGAGACTAACCATAGAGAACTTCAACATGAACAGGCCTGGAACAAGAGGAATACATAGGAAAGAAAATGATAAATTGACTTATGTAGTTTCTTTTAATCTTGCTACTCAATCTACGTTTGTCAAGCTGAGAGAACTGAAAAACAAATTTAAGCCTCAAGTTGCAATATTGAAAGATGTTATGGGCCAATGTGTTGAATGGTCCAGGAAGTATCAAAAGAAGATGGAGGGAACACACAGAGTCACCATACCAAAAAGAACTGATTGACACTGAAAAAATTTGGGGAGAATCATTTGAGCAGGAGCCAATGGTAATGAAGGAAGAAGCTGAAGAATCACTGAAGACATTGGAAAATTAATTAAGGCCCCAGGAATCAATGGTATGGATACCAATTGACATGTTTTGACTAGCAGATGCAGCTCTGAATGTGCTCACCAGTCTATGCCAGGAAACTTGGAGGATAGCTGTCTGACCAGCTTATCAGAGGAAGTCCATATCTGTTCACATTCGCAAGAAAGGTGATGCAAAAGAATGTGGAAACCATTGAATAATATAGATAGAGAACTTCCAGAAGTTCAAGCAGGATTTAGAAGATGTCATGGCACCAGGAATGTCAGATGAAACCAGGCTAAAAGTAAAGAATGCTAGGAGAGTGTATATTTACGCCTTATTGGCAATGCAAAAATCATTTAACTGTGTTGATCATAACAAGTTATGGCTAACATTGAGAAGAATGGAAATTCTTAATTGTGCTTGTGTAAAATCTATTCCTAAATGAGGAGGCTGTTGTATGAAAAGAGAAAGAGAACACGACATGGCTTAAAATTAAGAAAGATGTGTGTCAGGGTTGTATCCTCTCTACATATCTATTCAATCTATATGTTGTGCAAATTATTTGAGAAGTTGGACTCTGTGAAGAAGAATGGAATCAAGATTGGAAAAAGACTTGTATTATGCAGATGACACAATCTCGCTTGCTGAAATTGTTGCAAAAGGTCAAAGAATACAGCCTTCAATATGATCACATCTCAATGTCAAGAAAACAAAAAAGTCTTACAAATGGACCAGTAGGCAACATCATGTCAGATAGACTGAAATGGTCAACAACTTCATCTCACTTGGATGCACAATCAACACCCTTGGTATCAGCAGTCAGGAAATCAGGTGACATAATGAACTGGAAAAGTCTGCAGTCAGGAACTTCTTCAAATTACTGAGGAACAATAACATCAATTTGAGGACTAAGGTGTATCTAATTCAGGCCATGGTCTTTCTGATCACTTGCTATGCATCTGAAAGCTGGACAATGAATAAGGATGACAGAAGAAGAATTGATGCTTTCAAACTATGGTGTTGGAGAAAGGTACTGAATATCCCATAGATTTCCAAAAGAACAAAACAGGTATGTCTTAGAGAAGGTACAACCAGAGTACTCCTTAAAGGCAAAGATGATAAAGCTTTGTCTCGTACTTTAGGCATGTTGCTAGGAGAGGCTATTTCTTGGAGAGAGACATGCTTGGAAGGGTTGAAGGCAGTTAAGGAGAAGAAGACCCTCAACCATGTGAATTGACATAGAAACTGCAGCAATGGATTTGAGTGTGTCAGAGACTGTGAGAAAGGCACAGGACAGGGTTCAGATCTGTTTACATAGGGTCCTATGAGTCATACTTGACTCAACAGTAACTAATAATAACATTCAAAATTTATTTGGTGGACCAATTGAATCAAATGCCTGGGAAGGCAGCCTCTCAGACTCATACAATCATTATTGTCTTTAAGCAAAATTCCCTAGGTTATTTGTTTGGATTTTACATTTTTAGAAGCCCTAGAAGATAAAAGAAGAAACTATCTAAGAGAAAGCATAGTGTTTTGTTTTGGTTTTTTCTCAGGCAGGAGTTTAATAACAAAAGTTTACAGAATACTACAGGACTGCTCCAAGAAAAAGACTGTTTACTTAATTGCAAAATGGACAAAAGACATAGAAAGACTATTCAGAGGAAGACATTCATATCACCAATATACACATGAAGAAATTATCAAAATCACTGGAAATTAGAGATGCAAATCAAAACCACAAAGAGATAACACCTCACCCCAGGAGCAGTGGCAAAGTTTAACAAGACAGCAAACAATAAATGTTGGAGAGGATGTAGAGAGATGGAGCTCTCAAACATCGTTGGTGGGATTTAAAATGGTACAACCACTCACGGGGGCAGTTTGGATGTCAAGGCTGATAAGCAAGAAATCAAACAAGCTATAAATAAGCTCTACGACACTGATGTGGTCAAGGTCAATATCATATTAGTCCTGATGGAAATAAGGCTTTTGTTCAACTCTCTTCTGACTATGGTGCTTTGAATGTTGCAACAAAATTGAGATTTAAACTGAGTCAAGCTGGCTAATTCACAATCTAAATTTTTCTCATAAAAATAAAATTTTTAAAAAGCTGAACACAGAAATTCCATATTCCGCTGCTAACAATATACTCCAAGGAAATTAGAATTGAAGCACAAATGGAAATTTGTGCACTGATGTTCACAGCAGTGCTATTCACAATCTCAAGAACATGAAAACAGCCCAAATGTCCAACAACAAACAAATGGATTGAGAAATTGAGGTACATACACTCAATGGAATATTGTGCGGCACTCAGGAGCAACAATTTAAAAAAAACAATAGCACATAATATGTGAGAGATTGGAAAGTGTTATGTTGAGTGAACTAACGTTGTCTCATAAGGGCAAATACTGCATAAGACCATTATTGTTAAAACAGAAGGATAACTAGTAAAATACATATGAAAGTCCAAGGGGTGAAGGGGCAGAAGCAATGGGACTGAGGGTGGAGAGAAGGGAAGTTACAGGATTACAAAACTTGGTGGGTGGAACGAGGGTGTCAAAAAATTGGGAAAGATCCAGAGAGGACCTAAAAATATAGAGAATGGGGAAAATAGATTAATAGTGATTCATTTTATGAAACAATGTGTGGGAATGATTGTATGAAATACAATGTGAAGGAAGAAAACTGTGAAACATAATGTATATGAATTTGTATGGAAACCAATATGAAATCTAAAAATTAAAAAAGCATATTGTTTTTCTAATTTATTTATATTGTTACATGCATGTATTGTTTTCCTCTTACTAGATATTGGAGCTATAATTGGAATTAGCAGTTTTAAAGTATCCTAACTAAAGTTTCAGGCAGGTCTGATGGCCTAGTGGATAAGGAATTGAGCCCCAAGGCAAGCTGTTTGAATCCACCAGCTACTCTGCAGGAGAAAAAAGGGCAATCTCCTCCCATGCAATTTATAGCCTCGGAAAACTCCCTGGAAGGCCACCTATAAGTTAGTTCTGACATGATGGCATATAATAACAACAATTAAGCCTTCTTTAAAAAACTGTGTATATGTACTTACCTGGCAGGGGAGATACCATGATCACAAAAGTGATTTTCCCAGGGCGAAGCCTATTCACTGTACTCCGAATGTGTTGACCCCTGTGATTTCCCTAAATGTGGGAAACTTGACTGTATAATTTGTGGTAGTGGGGGACGGCAATGGCGCTTTCCCCTGGAGAAAAACAAAAACAACAACAACAAAATTCCAAAACAAACAAAAAACTTTGTACAATTTTTTTTGTAATCACAATATATTATTCTATCTTGATTTTTGGAAAATACATAAAACTAGAATTGCTAGCTATAGGAGAGATGTGTGCCCAGCAGTTCTTTATAATGTTTATACCATTTTACATTCCCACCAATAATGTATAAGATGTTTTCCGTTACAGTACATTTTCATCAACACTTGACACTGATAGTATGTTAGGTGTTGCCATTCTCATGGATTGAAGTAATAGCTCATGGTCATGTTAAAAAGTTGTTGCCCATGGAAATTAAAACTTGTATTCTTTCTTTAAATATGTGAAATAATAATGATAAAACTTACATTTCTCTTCTTGTTCTGCTCTAAAACCAAGGAAAAAATGTTTCTGCATGTGAAAGGAGAAATTCAGACTGGAAAATTTGTGATGAGAAATCGCAATGTCATGCTGACAATGACTTTCGTGGATGACATAAAAGCTCTGCCCATCAACTACGAAAAGGGGGAATATTATGCCTTTCTGGAAACCTATGGAACACACTACAGTAGCTCTGGGTCTCTAGGAGGACTCTATGAACTAATCTATGTTTTGGATAAAACTGCTATGAAGAAGAAAGGTACGCCTAGAAAAAAGGTCACTTTGGTCCATTGTTATTCCTTTTCCCTACCTCATTCAATAGCTAAAGGCATTAGAATAGTGTTCTGTAATGTGCTCCCTGGTGAGATAAACTCTGTTAACTATTCTCTGAACCCTAAAGTCATAACAGAAAATTGACTTTCAAAATGAGCAAGTCAGGGAGCTCTGGTGGCCTACTGGCAAGATTCTGTGCTGTAATCCTGAAGGTGCACTTTTCAAATCCACCAGATTCTCCACTGGAGAAGGAGGGGCAGTCTTCTCCTGTGCTAGTTAGATCCGATTTGACGGCACACAACAACAACAATAATGAGAAAGTCAACAAAGTGGCTTAATATCCTTTTCAGTAATATTACTGAGAAAAATGTTCCCCAATTCCACATCCTGTTGTGGTCTAGTGTCTATTATATAGTTTTGCCATATTTGGTGAAATATTTTTTTAAAAAGAGAGATGATATGACATAATTTACATATCTCACAGTTACCTTAATCATCCAAAGTATTCTTCAGTGTTTGAATGTAAATACCATTTTTAAAAAAATTATTTATTCGTGATATAATGTGGAGGACATAACATAGTATTATGTAAGTCTGACGTAAGGGTGGGAATTTGGTATTATTTCATGTGACATATTTGATCAGTTGGCAACAAAAATTAGTTGAATTTACTTTATGTTAAGTGGGTTTCTGGCCACATTTCAAATGAAAGAGAACAGGGCCAGATTACTTAGTAATATTTGCCATAAATTTAGATTATAGCCTTTGTGCCACATAAGAAATACTCCCTAGCCTAAAGATTTTATCTACACACCCTGGAAATAAATTGGATGCAAAGTGACTACATTCATCATTTTTAATCAAGTACTTTATGAGAAAAAGTGACAGGTTATAACTGCTCTTTAAGGAAGTAATAAATGACACATCCTTGCTTGTTGAAATTGAGGAGGACTTAAAAGCACTTGTTGCAGAAGATCAAGGAATAAAGCCTTTAGAATGGATTGCATCTCAATGTCAAGAAAACAAAGATTCTTACCACTGGATCAATAGGCAGTGTCACAATGAATGGAGAGGAGATTGAAACTGTCAAAAGCTTCATCTTGCTTGGATCCACCATTAACACCCTTGGTACGAGCAGTCAGAAAATAAGGAGATTCATTGTACTGGGAAAATCGCCATTAGGGACCTCTCCAAATTATTGAGAAGTAGTGATGTCAGTTTGAGGGCTAAGGTGCATCTGATTCAGGTCATAGTCTTTCCAATTACTAGTTATACATCCAAGACCTGGACAATGATTAAGGATAACAGAAAAAGAATTGACGCCTTTGAGCTGTGGTGTTGGAGAACAGCACTGAACATCCGCTGGACAGCCAAGAGAACAAACAGATATGTGTCTTGAAGATGGTGCAGCCAGAGTGCCCTTTGGAGGCAGGAATGATGAGGCTTCACCTCATATACTTTGGACATGTTGCTAGGAGGTGCTATTCCTTGGAGACGGACATGATGTTGGGAAGGGTGGAGGGTCATCGAAGGAAAGGAAGACCCACCACCAGGAGGACTGACAAGGTGACTGCTGCAGTGGGCTCTTGTGTGTCAGGAAGTGTGAAAATGGCACAGGACAGAACAAGATTCAGATCTTTGGTTCCTAGGGTTGCTATGACTCATGCTTAACTTGTCGGCACCTAACAACATCTCCCCACTTTGCCCTGGAAGGGTTTGGATATTTTTTAGGAAAGAATTATCACTTCCGAACACTTCCTTCTACTCTCCTTAGCCTATGGCTTTGTGAAGTGAAAAGTGCCATGTGGCTATAATCTCAAAGCCTGCTAATGTTCTTTCCACAGACAACACTTCATTGATGCAATGTGTATGACATGACTCTCATGAACCAAGACTTAATCTCTGGAACCCCAACTCTTGTGTTGGGCAGACAGAGAAGCTTTGCCAGGGAGAGCAGGATATGAGATTGCTTCACTTACAATGTCTCTCAAGGGCTTTATCTAAGCATGGTGAGGTGACCATGAGCTGGTGAGCTGCACTGATAGAGATATCACACAGAGGCACAAGAGGATTGCCTCTGGAATGATTTGAAAAAACAGGGGAGGAAGGTTCAAGCAAGGAATATCAAAACACAAAGAACCTCCAAACTCAGACAGAGAGTTGCTTTGGTGAGAGAGCTCCATGGACCGGGATCTATAATCCTGTGCAGTTCACATCTAGCCTTCTAAGTCTACTTATCTTTTAGCCACAATACACAGGGATGTTAGGTCTTTGTTAAGAAGTCATCTATCTACTTTTCCAGCTCTGATGGTGTAGCTTTATTCTCCACCTTGACTTGGGATGCCATACTCTGAACATGGAAATAGATGGCCATTGTTGATGCAGAAATTCTAAACCCTTTGAGGAAGATCTAGGTATTTTCATGTTTATCATACATCGTTCTTAGGTTAATGCTTGAAATCTAGAATTCTGAATTTTCTAGGATCACCTTTTGGGTTTCCCCCTCCTCTTTTCTTTCTCACTGAAAATTTTCAAGTTCTCACTATTTGTGCAGGAGGAAGAAAAATATCTGTTAAATGAGTGAATGTCAGAATGCTTCAAGGTCTCTCTTTTCAGTAATTGATCAGATTGCTCCCTTTACTTTTCTTTATTAAGAATGTTAGCTTCCAGGTAAACAATAGCATATTCATACAGACGTGTATGTGTATGAGTGAGTGATGAAAAATGTACAGAGTTGAAAACTAAAGTCTGGCCTGTCTATTCCTAAAATAAGGATTTATTCATTCTTTTCATTCTGAGGAATTGGTATTAAATTAGTAATTATAGACTTTAAGTAAATATTAGAATGTTTCTGCCCAATAACTGTTTGGTGGATCCACATATGACATTTCAGCTTCTAAGATTGTTATCCACAGAATAGTGGATTTATAGTACCAAAAATGGGATCACACATGCAAAGCATTTACCCAAAGTCATAAATAAGCTGGGTTAATGATCAACTGAGTTTCCCAAAGGGGCTGAGAAGATATTAATGAATCCTATGACTGAATCATTAAGCCAATAAACAGAGGTTCTTAAGAGCCAGACACTTCTCGGTTCAAATCCATCCCAACTTGTCTTATTACTAGCTGAAAGCTGTCAGGATGTTACTTAATTGCCCCAAGAATCTATATACTTATCTATAAAATAAAGATAAGTATAAGGTCTATATTATAAGTGAGCTCTGGTAACTTGAAAGTAAGGCGCTTCTCCATAAACCAGAAGGAACATGGTTTGAATCCACCAGCTGCCCCACAAGAGAAAGATGAGCAATCTCTTCCTGTGTGAGTCACTGCCTGTGCAAACCCATTTATGAACCAGGTCAGACTCAATGGTATACAATAACAAAACCAACAATCTTATAAGGTCAATTTTAGGATTAAATTTATTAATATATTCAAAATATTTGGGGGGATATTGAGCATATAATAAACATGGTTTAAAATCAGGAAAAGTGTGCTTTTCAGTATTGTAGCTTTTCATCATACCTATTGAATATGTACACTGAGCAAATAATCTGTGAAGCTGAACTATATGAAGAAGGATTGGAGGAAGGCTAATCAAGAGCTTGCATTATGCAGATGACACAACCTTGCTTGCAAATAGTAAAGAGGACTTGAATTACTTATAGAAGAAGATCAAAGACTACAGACTTCAATACAGATTATACTTCAATATCAAAAAAGCAAAAATCCTCACAGTTGTTTCAGTAGACAAAATAACGATGAAGAAGAGACTGAATTTGTTGTTGACTTTGCTTTGCTTGGATTCATACCTAACATCCATGGAAACAGCAGTCAAGAAATCAAATGTTGGATTTACCAACTGTTCCTATTAATTAACAAATAGGTAAGATGAGCAAAGGGAAAGGCAATATAAGTGAGGATTTGATAAGATGATTTAATTAATTATTTAATAAATCGTAATTAATGTTATACTGAAAAAACAAATCAAATATCATATTGTATTGGGAAAATCTCTGTCAAAGACCTTTTTAAAGGGCATAAGAGCAAAGATGTCACTTTAAAGACTAAGGTGTACTTGCCCTAAACCACAGTATTTTCAATTGTTTTTATGCTTGTGGAAGTTGGAAGTTGAAGGAAAGATAAAAGAAGAATAGATATCTTTGAATTGCACTGTTGGTGAAAAGTTTTGACATTACCACAAACTACTGAAAGAACAAACACATCTGTGTTGGAAAGCGAGCAGCCAGGTTGTTTCTTGGAGACAAGGATGGTTGGACTTCATCTCACATACTTTGGGCACATTTTGAAGAGGGGCCAGTCCCTGGAAGAGGACCTGATGCTTAGAAAGTTGGAGAGTTGGTGTAAAGGGGGGAAAATACACAAAGAGATGGATTGACACTGTGACTGCAACAGCAGGCTTGAAGGCAGCAGAGAATGTGAGGCCAGAGCTGGTGGATTCAAGCCACCATGCTGGACTCTAAAGGGCACATGAAGAGTTTACAGCATTTCGGTTGGGAGAACAAGCTGCAGCAGGTTAAGCTACCAGAGCACCAAATACAGATGAAGGGAAGGGGAAATACCGCCTTACACTTGAGGTCAGTAAAGATGTCTAAAAATAGAAGTATGTTTCTTCCAAAATTGAAATTTATTTGAATGCAAAAACAAAATATTGACAGATGTCATCTAACACTTTTCAACAAATATATTAAACAGGTATTGAACTAAAAGATGTACAGAGATGCGTCGGATTTAATGCACAGTTTTCTGTTGATGTTGCAATTTTTGGAACGGAATTGAAAGGAAACGTTGATAGCAATGATTGTTTGAAGAGGGGTGAAGGTGGCATTGGTAAGTATGGCCTAACCTTTTAGCTTAAAAAGGAAAAGAGGGTTACAAATGAGCACTTCTATCTCATGCTCAGATGCCGGTGTTATCTGACCTCTTAATTTAAGAAACAAGAAATGCTGAAAAGCTGTTGCCTATTGGTCTGATGGTCCCACAGCAGTAAACAGATAAAAAATGTATGAACATTTATTTATTAGTATGCTAATCTGCAGACTGTGCCCTGTGTAACTAAATGGGGTACTATTCACGCTGTAGTCAGTGTGGTGGTGGTGGAGGTGGTGGTGTTTACAGTCAAGCTGGGAACTGACCCCCCGCTGACCTCTGGCAGATTTTCAGAGACAGTTAATCACACAGGAGGAGACCTTCCATCCCTCTCCTGTAGAGCAGCTGGTGGCCTTGAACCCCATGCCTTTGGGATTGCAGTGCAGCTTCTCACCACTAGGCCACCAGAGCTCCCTGCAGTCAGTGTAGACTGGTACATTTATCATCATAGTAGAAGGTCATTAAAGAAAAACTCAATTAAGGAAATATCTCCCTTTTCTTCCCTAATTGTTGAAGAAGGGACTGAAAGCACTATTGGTGGTTGTGTCCATCAGCCAAAGAGAAGGCCAGGATCATCTCTCCAACTGTAAAAAGACAGCAGTTAGTGCTGATGTGGCTGAGTCTGACCTCAGCTAACTCCACAAATGAGAACAATTCCCATCAATGTCAACAGCAGCACAAAACTGATTCCCATGAGGTCAGATATGCCATTCATGCTCCCCACACTTACTTTGTTAGTTTCTAACAAGAAATTGCTGACTTGAATCCATCTGTGCTCCTGAGGCTTTGCTATTGGGTCTGCTGTTAACCCATCATAAAGACCACACAGAGCTCACAGCCTATCTTGGTGAATATGGGGTTTATTAGAGAAGTTAAACAATTACAATTTAGAATGAAAATAGAATACAGCTTTTCAGTCAGGACAGCTCCAAGTATGCTTGCTGACTTTTTGACCATCAGCCTCTAGGCTTCATTCAGGCCAGTATTGCAGAGCTTCTAGAGCTCCCAATTATCATGTTTCCCAGCAAGTCCTTCAGTAAACTTGGACAAAATCCCCCAGCTCTAGCTCCATGGGTAATCCCTGGGCTGTTCTGCCTTCATTCAGTCTCTGGTTCTCTGCTGATGCTGCTGTGGTGTTCCCATCTAAGTATAACCTTCTGGCTCAGGAATCTCTGTCTCTGCAGGACATAATGCTGCCTTCTTGGTTTCCTCATTCTTTCTGGTTGCAAGATTACCATTTTCTGCCTCTAAACTTGCTGAATTTAAGCCCGGCATACTGGCAACCCTAACAAAACAAATGATTCTCCACAACATGTTTGCATAATCTCACCCAACAGTTACTATTCACTTCATTCATTATTATCTTTAGGCTAGTTCCACCCTCAGTCACGTGGTAAAAGTGAAAGCCTATGAGCTAGGAAAGGCACTAACCTACCTGCCTACCCTGGACATTCCTAATCCAGCCTGGATGTTCAATCAGGGGAGACCTTTGAAAAACTACAAATAACTTTGATGCAAATATTACTTTTGATTATCAATGTTTAGCACATTAGCAGGATTGATGTAGTACTGTTATTTTCAATTTATCTAATCATAATTACCAGAGATTATTTTTGAGGCTGTCCAAGGGAGGAAGAAATCTAGGCTTTGTGGTCTTTAAAAGCACACTAACATATGACCATGATTCGAAACCATTGACCAAATGAAAACTGAATTTGTTATCTGTTAAAAAATAAAATAAAATAAAAATCAAGGACTGTGTGGGGATGGCCATATGTGGCCTTCACCAGCCCCACAAAGGGGTACTGTCACCAAGAACAACATAAAATCAATTCCCATGAGGTCAGACATGTCCTCAGTCCACACTCAGGCATCTCTTTCTATGCAATGTCAGTCTTCATTGGTTTATTGCTTTATTGGTTCCAAAATCTGATACAATAGCGCACAGAACACACAGAACCATATTAGGGAAATCAAAAGGCTCTTAGCTTTGGTTGATGAAGGGTAGCAGCCTCAAGTCAGCTCTGTCTTATGCTAATTCTCTGGTTCTCTACTTTGGCTACTGCTGCTGCTGCTACTGTAAATCTAGCTGGTGAAAGAATCTTTGGCCCCAGAAAGGCATGTACTACATGCTTGTTTCTTCGTTGCTCATAGTAAGACTCTCAAAATTTGATGCTGTATCTGCTTAGTTTAGTGGCCAAGACTAGCCAGTCCCCTTGTGGATAGACTAACACGCACTATTCACATATTCCCACCATCCACATGGTAGAGTCTGTCAAAGCCTAAGGAAGCCATTCTGAACAATCAACCCTTAAAACTACATCATTGGATTTTCTACTTCTATACTTGGTATAAAAATTATGTGAATTTGTAAAGCTGTACATTTGGACTCATTTCCCCTCCACTCCCAGTCTCAATTTTCTCATCCATAAAAATAAAAAGGAATAGATAAAAATCATCCTAAAATTCCATTCCGGTTCTAAAAATCCTCAACTCTAAAAGATTAACAAAAGTTTATTAAAAGGAGGTCTGTCTGCAGAAGGAAACTGTCAAGAGATGGCGGAGTATTGGGGGTGAGAAAAAAATTATTACTTTTTACTTTATTCTTCTTTCTTCTTTTGTACTCTTTTTTACACAATGCTATGCAATTTTAAAATGTATAACAAACCTTCAAAAAATATAGTAATGAAGGTATATCTGTAACAAAAAATACATAGTACTCCCAAAAGCCTTGTGTGTCTATGCACATATGTATATTTGCTGCTACAATTGTCTTGAGTATGGCAAGGGTCACAAGGATGGTGCAGGATGGGGGAAGGTTTCCATTGTTGTTCATTGGGTCATTATGAGTCCGTGTAGATTCCATGGCACCTAAAACCACTATACGTCAAGTTTTCAGCCATTAGTCTATCTAGACTGTCCATACACATTAAAAAAAAAATAATAATTCTTCGATTGGATAGTTAAACATGATCATCAAACTCTAGGGCATTAAAAATATTCTTATAGATGTTGTAAATAAAATAAAATCTATGTAGACACCATTTATAATTAAAATTCAATAAGTACACTAGTTTGTATATAGGTCCTCAGTAAATGTTTCTCAAGCTTGATGGCTGACTTAAATATAAATGTTCCATTTCACTTTCCTTTTCTCAGTAAACATCACGAGTGATAACATCATAGATGATGTTATTTCATTCATAAGAGGAGGGACCAGAAAACATGCACTTCAAATAAAAGAAAAGCTTGCCAGAGGAGCCAAGACGATTGATGTGGCTGACTTTGTAAACTGGGCCGGTTCACTGAATGATGCTCCAGTGCTCATAAACCAAAAAGTAAGGAATGTTTCTTTCCAAATAGAAGATTATGTCATTCTCTTATAAAATGCCAGAATTGGCTGAGAAGAGATGGTAACACAGAAAAAAGGATGGGGTACAGTGTCAGACCAACTAGCGCTGAATTCTTATCCCTCACTACATTGAAACATTCTCTCATTTCTCCACCATTCTCTAGGGTTTGCAATTTATTCTGATGGATTAGTAGAAACATTTCTATAACATTTACAGTGTGCATTGACACAAAATCGATATTCAGGAATTATGAGTTTCCTTCCATCTGTGTTGGGTTCTACTTTCCCTTCATGTGGCACTATGCTACCTCTTCAGACATACAAGAATCTTGTCTGTTCATGGTCTTTACGAAAAGGAGGAGGTCTATGTTTTGATGCAATACATACTGTACTGCTAAATGGAAACTAGCAATGTAAATCCAGTCACAGGAAGATGTACACCCCCAGAGATGTACAGCCTCAGAAGCTTAATGGAGGGTCACCATGAATTAATACATGCCTGACATCAATGAGTTCTTTGTTTTTTCATATTCAGATGGACACCTAAAGTAGGTTATCAACACATCTTTACAAAACAAGTTCAAGTATTCTGGATTGCACCAACACTCAAAATCATTGCCAGTGAAATTGAAATGAACTCAAAGCTGATCCTCCAGCAGATTTTCAGAGGCTGTATGTCACAAGGGAGAGAATTGCCTGTATTTCTTTCCCTCCAAAGGGCCAGTTTATTTGAACTGTCAGAGAAGCGCCCCCTTTGAGTTAGTAGTACAACTCTCGAGAGCTTCCTTTTGATTTGTGCAGATGCTAGATTATCCCTGGGAAGGTCCTAATAACAGTTCAGCAGAGACATGCAAGGACACAGCCCATTTTTTTCCCATGGAGGATCAAAATTGTCGACTTTTCGTTTAGCCCCATGATACGGTACTTCATTACACACTATGAACACCAGGATCCTAAACTAATTCCCAGAAAAGGAGTTCTTGTGGCTCAGTGGTCAAGTGCTTGGCTGCCAACTATAATTTCAGCAGTTCAAACCCACCAATGTCTGTAGGACAAAGATCTACGCTCATAAAGATTATAACCCAGGAAACTTTTTTAAGGCAATTCTGCTCTGTCCCATGTGATCCCTATGGACTCAGTGGCATGCAAGAGAAATATTTAAAAACCACGATAACTGCTGGCTATGCACAGGGTATGGTTTATCCTATTTTTAAAATATTTTTTCTTGATTTTCATATAAAAATACCTTTACAATATGTTTCATTCATATACATTGTGTTGTATACAATCTTTCATTTACATTGTATTTTAGCAGAGGGGTGAGGATATGAGGTGAGAGGATTAATCTTGGGGTTTATCCTAATTTTAAGGATGTAAGTAAGTTACTCCCTTAATTTTAAGATAAGGAAGTATTTTATCTAAAATATCTGTATATGCAATTTCTTTTCTTGTTTAGTATTCTTTCTTGATATTTAAGGGGGGGTTTGTTTCTTTACATTTTAATTTGTTGTTGAAAATATGCATGGTAAAAGATACAATTTAACATTTTTACATATACAGTTTAATGACATTGTATTCTTCCAATAGTGCAACTTTCTCATCATCCTTTTCTGAGTTGTTCCCTCCTCATTCAAACTCACTGTCCCCTAATGTTTTGATCTAATCTTTCAAATTACTCTTTTCAATTTTATTACATAAGAATATCTCTTAAGGGGACATAGTAAATTGGACTGGGGAGCAGGGGGAGAGAGGAACTTGTGCAACAACGAAAGAATCATTTTAAAGAGAAAAGCAAACTGAGAAGTCAGTAGGGAGGAAAATGTGCAACAATAAATGAACAGAAAGCCAAGTTTTCTGTAAACTTTCATTAAAGTATTAATAAAAAATGTTTAAAAGAAAAGGATATCTCTTAAAAGAACATAATATCCAAGGGTACATCTTTTTTACTAGCTATGCTCTGCTGGATTGGTTTTTAAGAAGACTTCAAGAAATATTTTTCTTTTATTTAAAGATTATCTCAAGACAATAGTTTTAGGGGCTTATTTACCATTTATGGCTGCAGAAAATCTAGAGCTCATGAGAATTTTAGATTCTGTTCTACTTTTTCTCTTTTTGATAATATTTTTTTTTCTTTGGGATTTTTTTAACCAAAATATTCATTAACGATGGCAATAGTTTTAGGGGCTTGTTTATCCTTTATGACTATAGGAAGTCTAGAGCTCACTAGAATTTTAGATTCTGTTCTACTTTCTCTCTTTTTGATAAGATTTTTCTATGGGATTTTTAACCAAAATGTTCATTAATGGTGGCTGGACACTATTATTTCTTCTCATCTCATGGTAAAGGAAGGAGTTGTTCATAGAAACTGTTAACTATGCATTCCATATCCTCTTCATAATTCTTGCTTTCCTTATTCCTCTATTGTTCCAAGTGGATAAAGATTAATGGTTCTACGATAGATAGCCACTTGCAAGATTTTAAGAAACTTGGCACTACATAACAAACTAGGAAATAAAGAGAAGCAGTAAACCTGTTAATAGTTTCATTAACTGAAATATCCTTTGAAACAGTGACCCCAAATCTACCCTACTCCAAATGCTTGGTTGTACAGATGCAGCCTCAGCACCTACTGTTTCTTTTTTGCCATTGTGGTAAATATATCTATCATACAGAGGTAGAGAGGGAGCTCTGGTGGGTTAGTGGGTAAAAGCTGCGCTACAAATCAAAGGCAAGCAGTTCAAATCCACTAGCTGTCCTGAGGGAGAAAGATGAGCAATCTCCTTCTGTATGATTTATAGCCTCTGAAAACCCACACTGGCTTATCAACTATGAGTAGGTTCCAAACAACTCTGCTGTAAAGAGTGAGTGAATGATATAGTAGTGATAAAGAAAGAAGCAGAGATATGCTAGATAGGCTGTGTTTCCCCCTCATCATTAACACCTTTTCTTCCCCTCCCTCTTGCCCCTGTTGTTGTGGTGGTGTTAAGAGCTATGAAGTCTAGTATGACTCATAGTAAATCCAATGAAGAATAGATATGAACTCTATGCCTTTCTCATCATCTCTGATATTCTTGATCCCATTGCTGCAAACACTGTGTCAATCTATCTAGTTAAGGATCTTCTTCTCTTTGGCTTCGCCTGTTGTGTTTGTTAGGTGTTAGGTGCCCCTGTTGTTAGGTGTTGTCAATGATGACTCATAGTGACTGCAGATCTGACCCCAGTCCTATATGATGCCATCCTCACACTCTCCGACACATCTGAGCCCATTGCTGCAGTTATTATGCCAATCCATCTGGTTAAGGGTCATCTTCTCTTTACCATCTCTCCACCTTTCAAAGTATGATGTTCCACTCCAAGGAACAGCCTGTTGTTGCTACCCCTAGTAATTACTAATAAACTTTCTTTACTGTTTCTTGTCTTTTTATGTAAATGAGGTCATAAAATGGTTGTCCTTTTCTGTATGATCTACTTTGCTCAATATAATGTCTTCCAGCTCCATCCACATTGTTGTATATATCAAAGCTCTTCTTCTATTCTCTGTGTAGTTATTCCTTAGATGTGTGTACACATTCAATCTATCAATTAATTTACTGATGGGCATTTAGGTTATTTCTACCTTTTGTTTATTGTGAATAATGTTGCAATGAATATTAGTGCACTTTTTTTTGTGCCCTCTTTTTTTATTGTTAAAAAAAAAACAACCATGTATGGGGATATAAGGGTATAAATGTTGGGAGCAGAAGAGTGAGAATGGGTGGGGATGAAATCACAGGGCTGCACAATTTGGTGGGTGCAGAGGGTGGGCGAAGAAAATGAGAAAGATCCAGTGGGGACCAGAAAAGGCAGAGTAATGGGGAGCTTAGTCCAATGGTGATTTTTTTTTTTTACAAAGAAATTGTCTTACTCACGTCTGTGTTCCTCATTTGGGAATGGGGTGCAGACTCTCTGGCTTGTTCATTCTGAACAGGGACATTGAGATGAAGGAGGAAGGGAAGCCCATTTTAACACTTCACTGGTGGGCCTGGGTTGAAGCTGCATACCTTCTTGTTCAGTTAGAATATATTTTCCTGACATTTTTGCCTTCTGAACTGCAAAGTGTTTGCCAAGGTGATTCCAGTGGGGATGGCTGGCTGAGCCCTGAGGCTCCATCCTCCTTTGCTTCCTTAGCTGGAAGTTATATTTCCCTTTTGTCTCTGAAACTGGGCTCAGGATTCAGGTCTGGAGCAAGACTCAGTGGTGAGGTTACCTACAGGAAAAGGGGCAAACCCATTCTTTTTCAGAAATCTTTGTTCTCTTGATGTTGAGCCTCAATCCATATTGAAAACCAGTAATCAACTGTTTAATTGTTCAGTTATAGATAAACTGTTATAGAGGGCCATGGTGGCTTGTTTCTAGGTGGCTGCCAGACCTCTAGTTCCTCACACTGCTTCCTCCACTGCCACCATCTTGGTTCCCCCACAATATTTTTTTTTTAGGAACCAGATGTTTGGATTTTTCAGGTCAATACTCTACCTCAGGAATTTACAACTATAGTTAATCCATCATTGACTACTTTTGAAATGTATTTTCTTGTAAAGAAAATTCAGAATGTAGAAGACTATGGTTTGTATTGATAACTTAAGACAGCTTTTAAAGTCATTAAGCCCAGCCCAAGGTGGGTGATTGTAATCTGCGGCCTGCGGCCAGGTTCAAATTGTCTTTTTGTGAAACATTCTTCTAGGTGGGATAGCACTGGTCTGTGCATTGCTGTACAGAGGTAACTTGTAGTTGCTGTGATGCTGAAAACTGACACTGATGGGCCAGATGTGATAATGGTTACTCATGGTGGACAGTGTTTGCTGGAGCTTCCCAATTAAAACAAGCCTGGAAGCAGGAGTGGCATCCACTTCCAAAATGGCTTGCCTCTGGAAACTCTATGAACATTGCTCAGGCCTTTTACTCATAGGGTCACTGTGAGTCGTCTACGACTAGATGGCACTTAACTAC